ATGGAACTCTATCTTCCTTTTGATTAGCAGTTTGTACGAAGAAACAATGTTATTTGGGTGTCATATAATTCTACTTTTTTCTAGTAGATTGCTGTATGGAATTCTGTGAAAATGTTTGAGAAAAGGTCTGTATTACATAAATAAAATCTTTGTATGTTGTGAACTTTTGAGTTGAAACTGACCTTCTGTCTTGGCTTCCTGTGCAGTCTGCCTGAACCTCTTTCCCCTACACATTTAGATGTCTAAAGCGAAGATCTAGAATGAAAATTTCAGTTTGACGGAAAAACAGAACAAAATGAAACTTGTACATAAGTTGTTGGAAATGTCTTTTCACCCACACATTTTCAAACATGGATGAGGTAACTATTCACAAAAAAAAAATGTCACACTGGTTCTGCTCAGTCTGTGAGTGGTAACCAATGAAAGAGACTCTCTTGACAAAAAACAAGAATGCTTTCTCATGACAAATCACTCTGTGTCTTACTGGGACTTCCATAACCAAACAAGGGCCACTAAGACTTACCAACATTCACAAACCACTAAGAAAAATAATAAATAGCAAAACATGGGAGCGGGAAATGCTGACTCCCAGCTAGAGGTTAAAAGGAGTATTTTACTTTGAAATTAGGGGGAATAAGGTAGAAGAAAAGCTACTGCATTATGTCCCAGCAGGACACAGGCCTCCTGGAGCCATAAAGACAGTGTCCACCATTGTCTTTACAGCTCAAAACAGTGGGAAGTTACCTGAGCTGGAGTAATACTTCATAAAAGAAAAGTCAGACACACTCTCACATGCCTAGCATGAACCAAGGACTTCTTAGTGGCAGGTCCTGTTTAACACAATATTTCTTTCATTTGATTCAGTATTACTTATGGTACCCAATTTTAACTATTTTCATTAAAACAAACCAAAAAACCCACATCACTTCAAATAAATGAAAACCAATTAGAACAGCAGTCAAGGAGGCCAGGGATGAAGGTGATAAGCTCTGACAGGAGGAGCCACAGCCACACTTGTGGCTGGCAGGCTCACGTTCTCCATGGTGTATTTAAGCCTGGCTTTAAGACACATTTCCTCTAGAAATTGAGGGTTTTCCTTCCTTGCTTACTAGTTCTCACTGAATAGGACCCTCAAGTCTTGATGGTTTTGTCACTTAGGAAAGAATAGGTCCCTAGGGAAAGCAAAAGAGCGGAGAAGTGGAGAAAAAGAGTACCTGGCAGGTATTAATGTAAACCTGTGCCCAGGTCATCCTTCCGTGACCATCCAAAACCCAAGGCATACCAAATACCTAGAAGTAAATGGTTTTATGAACTGATTCAAAAGAGGACCTACTTTGCTTACCAATGAGACACCATACTTCCATTTCTACTTAGCAAATAATACAGGAAGACTGTTGTGGAATAATCTTTTTGCACACTGTGCAGATGTGTCTTTGCCAAGGCACCTTCTGATTGGTATAATAAAAGAGCTGACCAGCAGGTAGCTAGGCAGGAGGTATAGGTGGGACAGCAAGACACAAGAGGATGCTGGGAAGAAGGGCGGAGTCTCTAGTCCTGAGCAGATGCAGTAAGAATCAAGATGAGCACATTGTGTTGAAAGAAAGTACTGCCACGTGGCAGAGGGTAGATAAGAAATATGGGTTAGGGCTGGAGAGATAGCTCAGAGGTTAAGAGCACAGGCTGCTCTTCCAGAGGTCCTGAGTTCAATTCCCAGCAACCACATGGTGGCTCACAACCATCTGTAATGGGATCTGGTGCCCTCTTCTGGCATGCAGGCATACATGCAGGTGAACACTGTATACATAATAAATCTTAAAAAAAAAAAAGAAAAGAAAGAAAGAAATATGGGTTAATTTAAATGTAAGAGTTAGCTAATAACAAGCCTGAGCTATCGGCTGAGCATCTATAATTTTAAATCTCTGAGTAGTTATTTGAAATTGGCTGGTGGGACAGAAAAGTCCACTAACAGAAGATGATACAAGAGACTACCCTGCTTCCATGGGAACCAGGAGAGGCTTCAGGAAGTGGGCAACTCAGAGTCCAGGCTAATGGGACAGACCATGTGAACCTGGCACTACTGTCTTTCTCCTATGCTGTCAAGAATAGCACGGTGGCAGCGGCCATGCAAGTCAGGTTTACAAGAAATGGCCAAGTATTTCCTGCATGAATGCCGGCTCCATGCACTCTTTGCAGGCAAAGGAAGCAATGTTAAAAACAGGAGATGGCGGGCTGGTGAGGCGGCTCAGCAGTCAGGGCTGAGGCTGCCCTTCCACAGAACCCGAGTTTGCCTCCCCTCACCCACGTCAGACAGCTCACAGCTCCTGTAACCCCAGATCCAGTGGATCCAAAATCTCTTCTCAGAGGGCACCTGCACTCCGACCCACAGACACACATAACTAAACGCAGATCTTAAAAACCAGGAGGCAGCGGTTTAACCCGGCTCACAGGCTGGTGGGCTGAGACCTGCACTGTGACCTCCCCTGCACTCTTACCGGATGTGGTTTCAAGAGCTCCTGGCCACACCGATCACAGTTTGGGAAGGCGTATGCGTCAGTCCTGCCCTGCTCTCTGGCTGGGTCAGCAGCGAAAGCATGCTTCCTTCCAGCGGACAGGGCCCTCTGCAGAGCTGTGGGAGGCTCGCCAGCTCTAGTGAGCTGGGCTGTGGAGCAGGACCCTCTCCACAGCCTCATCACGAGACTCGAGTCCCATTAGGCCAGAGAATGTTCAGTCCGAGGTTCAAACTAGAATCTGCATAAACTTACAAATAGCCAAACACACCAGTACTTCTTCTAACTGGTCACTTCCGCCCTACCTCAGTGAGAGGAAACATTCCCTACTTGAACTGGGACAGCTAGCCGGGGAGGTACTCGCTGCAGAAGGTCTAATCCTGTCGGCTTCACGAATTACTGTTGCCAGAAGCACAAGAGCTAAGAGGTTCCGAACCATCCCACTGTGAGAAAGATCATTTAAATGGCAGAGAAAGAGCAAAGCAAAACAATGTTGTGAAGTTCTATTTGACAGACTAGAGAGGAAGAAACATCTTCAGGAGTTATTTTTCAGCGGGACTTGAAGCCAAGCACCGTGATACATTTCTATCACCCCAGGACTTGGGAAGCCAAGGCAGAAGAATATTGTTTGAGGCCAGCCAGAGCTGTACACAGTGAAACTTTGTTTCAGGGGTGGAAAAATATTTAAAAATTGAGTTCATGGCATTTTTCTTGGTTCCTTGTAATCATAAGATCATTATTTAAAAACTCAACACTAGCCATGCAGAGAGGCGCATGCCTTTAATCCCAGTAATCAGGCGGTGGAGGCAGGCAGGAGGAGGAGGTCTGAGGACAGCCAGGGCTACACAGAGAAACCTTGTCTCAAAATAAACAAATGAATGAAACCCCAAAGCTAAACTTGCATCTAAGACCGGTCTTGCTTTGTTCCCCAGGCTCCTGTCGGGCTCCTGGGCTTAAGCTGGGGCTACAGGTGTGTGCCACCTCACCAGCTTGTTCACAGTGATGCCCACTCCTGCTCCTGGCTACCAGAAACAGAAATTTCCCCAAAACACAGCACACCAAGCCCCTCTCTTGAATGGCATAGGGTGTTTCGGCTTTCAGGCAGACACATCCTCCTAGACTGTCTAGCTTCTCAGGTCAGGGAAGATGATGACACCCAGGAAACGCCACTTGGGAGTCTCCATGATCACATACCTGAAACATAAAGTGAATCATTTTCGTCTCAAGGTCGGGATCTTTTTCCCTGCCAAAACTAAGCTTTTTGGGGCAGTTGGACAGGACCAGTATTTGCAAATACCTGTAGGAAACAGCGGCAGCTCCTCTACAGCCTTGGACTTGGATCACTTGAAAAACGAAGCTCGGATCCAGTGTCAGCCTCCACACTGACAGGCTGCCAATCAAGCTTGCCAGATCAGTCCATGGAGATGAAGACATCCTGATCCCTGCCCAACAGGAGGCCTCTGGAGCAGCAAAGGCCCAGCCCCACCAGCCATGAAAAGGCTCACGTTTAAGAGCATGGCAGAGGTGAACGTCTCCATACACTTGTTTTTCTTCCCCTTGGATATGCAACACTCAAATAAGGTTGAAAACTTAGTGCAATGTGTACTTGTGTGTTTATTACCTGCCATCCGGGCATTTCCAGGAGTTTGAATCCTTCAGGAAGCAGCTGACCCTGCCACTGACCCCGTTAGAATCTCACGTGACTCCACACATGACACACACACTGGAATCTGACTCACTGTAGTTCTCACACATCAACCTCAGCCTCACACCCAGGGAAGACACATGCCCGCTGCCTGCAAAGAACAGGTCTTGTGCCATGAGGGCAGCAAGCCTGGAGTTCTAGAAGGTAGGTTTTTGTTTGTCTGATGTTCCTAGCAACCCTGGGTACCAAAGCCCTCACATGCTCTCACCTGCAGACCCACTCCAAGGTCCACAGCAGGGCTGTTCTGACAGGGTACCCAGCGAGTGTGCCCAGGTCCTGCACACATTCCTGAGGTGGTGGGTGAACACTACTTTGTAGCAGCAACTGGTTCCTGACAAATCGGCGACAGCTGTTCCCATGCCTAGCACTTCCACTTGAAGTGCAGTTACGGAGTGAGGAGTACACACCAGTTTCACACCACAGAGCTTTAACCTTCCGCCATGCTTACCATGAACCCGTTTCATTTAAAATGACAGGGGCCCTCTCTCTACCTGTCACACACATCGTCTGAAAACCAAACCAGATTCACCTAGAACTAATGTTAAGAGCCATGGCTTATCTGTGGAGCGGAACTGCAGTGGCATCTGCTAGGACCATGTGGCTTTTAAACACTTAAAATGTTTGGAGTCCAGATTGGGATGTGCTGTGAATGTAAACACACTCCAGATTGCAGACTCACCACACAAGAAGGTAAAATATCCCCCAGCTTTTGTTGATGCTGACTATGTGTTGAAATAATACTTTGGATATGTTTAGATGTTAGGTTAAATAAAATATGCCACAAGATGTACTTTACCTGTTCCTTTTAAGTTTTTAATGTATTATGAAAACATTAATACAAGTGGTAAATATTATAATTTCCATGGGATGGTGTACGGCTCTAGCATTTTCTACAAGACATTAATCAGCACTTTTTCTTTCAATATGGTTACTCCATCCCAAACTGTCCCGTTTCCTAAGTCGCACACTCTTAGCCATGATGAGATTCTGGGTGTTTTATCAAATGCATTTAATGAATACGTGTAACACATGTCCATGCCCACCACCTTTTGCAAAGGGAGGCAGAGAGAGGGGGGTGGGAGACCCCCCCTCAGCTGTGGAGGGCATCAGGTACCCACTTCCCATGGCGTCCACTTGCATTAATCTGCCACCATCCAAGTTTACCCCCCACCCTCCAACACTGCCCCTCTTCGGGAGGAGAATGAGTCTGAACAGGCACATACCACTCTCTCAAAAGGATGTGAGCACCCGGAAATAAAGTACCTGTATTTAATTTGGATCGTGAGAACAGAATTTCAGCTTCTAAGTGTTGATGCAGCAGATGGACAGAGGAACTGTGTGTCCTTCCCCCAACCCTTCCCCAGCCTTGCTGCTTGGGTGGATACCGGCTCAGCAGTGGGGCACAGCCATAGACACCCCTCCTGTGGCTCCTTGGTCTTGGCCCGGCTGCCTACCGGCTTGTTCCTTCACCTCGTCTGCTCTGGGCTTCCCAGGGACCCTACCCACCAGGGAAGGACTGTCACCAGGGAAGGACTGTGAGGCAGTACGGGCTTCCCTGACTGCCTGCCTCCCCCAGGGACAAAGGGAGGGCACATGCTGAACAAGGAATCTTCTTCCCAGACACGGGTGGGTCCTGCACTGACCACGCACTCAGTCTTTAGCTCGAATTAGCACCACAGCTGAGAGGGAGGAGGCTGTGATGAGCAGCAGACACCCTGGCCACCACCTGCCCTTTTTCTTCTTCTGCATTAACTCTTCCCCTCTCTGAAAGCAAAACGGCCACAAGGCTGTGAAAAATCTTGTTCTTGGTGCTGGAGAGATGGCTCAGAGGTTAAAAGAACTTACTGTTCTTCCAGAGGACCAGAGTATGATTCCCAGCACCCACCCACGTCTGGCAGCTCACACCTGCCTGGAACTCCAGCTTCAGATTTGCTGCCCTCTTCTGGACTCCATGGACAATGCATTTGCATGCACACAGACAGGCACACACATAATTAAGACTCAACCTTTTTTAACCAGTTACTGAGGAGACACATGCAAAATGTTCTAACCCTGCAGCCCACAGTGTTCTCCAACACTTCTTCCTCCCATGTCTGCTACAGCTCTGGGTGGAACCCAGGACCAGCCGGCCATCCGCTGTCTCCTTCCCTCAGCGTCCTGAGCCGAGAGATCTGGAGCCTGGCCAGGGGTTTCCAGCCGGACCGATGTAAAGCTCCGAGAAGGTGACAGAGACAGCTCTGGGTGACCAGAGGCACAGATGAGCAGTGTCATAAGCAGAAAGCAGGGCCTCACGGGGAAACTTGTAACTTACAAGTCAGAGAAGTGGGGCCCCAGCCAGGATAGGCATGGGAAGCTGCTCCAGCCCACTTTCTCTGAGCCCCAGCTTTTCTATGACTGTCCCTAGCTCCCTCTCTGAACAGCTTGCTTCTTTTGGTGCTTTGGTCCGAGTCTCAGCACCTGTGGTCACATACACTTCAGCCAAGGCAAAGATCTGTGTGCTCTTGCAGGAGTGGCCCCAGACACTGGCCCCCGAGGGTCTGGACCAAGGAGAGGTGCTCTGATCACATGCACTGTCCAAATCAACCACACAGAAACCTCTGCCCACCCCATGGCTTTTCCGAAGAGGGAGGAGTTTATTGCAGGTCGGGGATACTTGGAGAAGGCAAAAATCTAACAATGAGAGTGAACTGTAGGGCCCACCCGTTCAGAAGACAAGCAGGTAAAACAATACAGTTATATACAATTATTAAAAAGAGGAGGGCGGTGGAAAAAAAGGAAAAACTGCCAGCAGCCTTCCAGAAGGTTGTCACAGGACATTCAAGGAGCACCATGCGCCCCAGTCCCCGCTGGGTCTCAGCAGACCTGCCATGGCTTTGGAGTGCTCTTCACAGACAGCAGAGGGGGAGGAGCCCCTGGTGGGGACACAGTCAAGGTCATCCTGCTCTTCCAAGAGCTGCTGCACAGTCCACTGAAAAGCCCCAGGCCAACTTCATAAGCATTTATTAATACATGTGTAGGGAACGCTAGGGGAAACTGAGGGCATGTCTGACAGGTCTGTGAGCCCTGCACCCCAGCCAGAGGGGAGCTGCTTCCTGGGGCATCAGGATGCATTCCCTCAGTCAGGAATCGGAGGTGATCAGTTCTTCTATCCAGAAGCCAGGAGCCTCAGGCTTCCTATGAAGAGGAGGCGGCCATGTTGCTTCTCACAGGACATTACAAAGGAACAATCACAACTGTGTCCCGGGGAGAAGGGAGCACTTGGAGTATCCTTCAGTAGGAGAATCCTAGTTCATCCGATGCATTTCTATAAAAAGAATGTAATTCCAGATAAAAGTTGCACATTCTCTGTGTAAAGCCGCCAAGTGTCTACTGAACTAGAAACACGGCTGATTTAAAATGAGTCACTCCAAATATGTCTCCACAACTGACATGGCTTGACATGGCCAGGAACTAGAGAGGGCAGAACCCAGGGTACACGAGGCCATCCTGAACACGGGCTCCAGGATACCCTAGTCCTGTTCCCAGGCCGTGACAGAACATGCCAACAAACTGTCAAAACAGCAGTCAGGACGGAAAGGCTCTTTCAGCAAGGAGATGAGGCCTGGTGAAGAGTCGCCTTCCTGGCAAGCGGCGGAGGCGGCGAGCAGCTTCGGGCCTGTCTACACAGCGTTCAGTCTCGGTGGCGGCGCCAGGTCCCTGCAGGATCACAGCCAGAGGCGGCTGGAGGTCGAGGGGGCTTGGGAGACTCCGCTGGGGGAGGAGCCTCCCGGGCTGGGGGAGGAGCCTCCTGGGCTGGGGGAGGGGCCTCCCGGGCTGGGGGAGGGGCCTCCCGGGCTGGGGGAGGGGCTGGCGAGGTCCGCTCCCTGGCGGGTTTGCTGCTGTCTTGACAGTGCTTGCCGCAGAAAATCTGCCCCTCTTTATCTAGAGCCGTGTTCTGGGGAGAGAGCGGCAGAGACACCACATTATCCAGGCCTGGCTCCATCACACTCCCAGGAGCAGAAAGCAGGACACAGCATGCATGCACAGGACACAGAAACAGAAGAGGAGAAACACACCAGGCCTCCAGCGGAGGGACGTCTAAAGGGAACTGAGCCCCACTCCCCCAACCCCCACCCCATCCCAGCAGCTGCCCTTTGCCTCTGCCCTCATCACAGCCTGTGATGGGAGCTGGGGGGGGGGGGCAGGAAACGCGGCTGGCCCGCACAAGGCGGCCTGAGCGAATCTGGGGTGAGCTGCACCTGAATTCTGAGTGTCTGGCCCACGCCCACACCCACGAGTGCTGGACGACAGGCAGCCTCTGCCAGCTGCTCTAGTACACTAGTACACTTATCTAAAGAAAGTTCTTGTCACAGATAGGTGGCCCTTACATGTCAGAAAGAAACAATGCCCTTACAACCGAAGGGCATCTGTAATATGCCCAGGAATCCACTGGGGTGCAGCCACATGGACTCTCCATGGCATCTTTGCCTGCCCCTCTCCCTGTGAGAGAGCCTGCACCTGCTGGACCCCTGCATTATCCATCTACTCAACCCCTCAAGGGCTTCCTTCTCAACCATCCTGGGGGGCCCCAGGCATGGAGTCTCCTCTGCCTCACTGGAGCCTGGGTGCTCTGGGAGCCAACAGTAGCCGCTTCACTGGGTTTCCTAAAGGTGGAGAGACTGTGGGTCTTGGGTACCATCTTCTAAGATGAAGGGACCGGGAGGCATTCTGCAGTCTAACTCCCAAGGCAGGGGAGTGGTCCCATTGATTCGTCCACTACAATAACACAGATTTAAAAATAAAAAAGGGATGGAGAAAAGAACAGATAACGAGGCTTCTCAAGACAGGCGGCGCGGGTCGCGTGCCCCGCGGCTCCTGCCAACCTCAAGCTGAGCACTCGCTGCCTACAGAGGCCAGCTTCAGCCAACTGGGGTGCGTGGGTGAAGCCTGGCCTGAAACTTAGCTCCCGAGCTGCTGGGACCAGGCCGGCCACTCTGCCCCCCTGACCCCCACAAGACAGGCAGCACGTACTTCTAACAGACTTTCTCCAGGGTAGAAGAAAGCCACACGCCCCTAGCTATTCCCCCTCTTCGCTTCTGGCCCCGAGAACGTGAGCGTGCATGGCAGACGGAAGCTGGCGGTGCGGTTAGTACATACCATGGCCTTGGACCTAGTCAGGGGAAGCAATGCGGCAGCAGAGAGGCAGGAAGGGAGAGAAGCGGGGACAGAAACCGGACTTACTTTCAACAGAAGCAACACGATCCAAACAGTAACCCCGAATCACCACCATCACCCCCTACAAGTCAGCAGAGCGCCCCCTGGGGTGGAAAGAATGTACATCTGGCGACATTCCTCCTCGGCCAGACCAGGGAAGGAGCTGCCTTGTCTTTCCCTTCTCGGCCACAAGATGGCCCCTCTGGTCGCCGAGGCTTTGTGCCTCACTGGGACAAAGAAGCCACCTCCCAAATACACTCTCCTTCATCTGCATGCTGAGGACTGTCAGGGAGAGGCAGAGTGTGACACAGAGCCATCGGCCTCTCTGAAACTCTCTCCAATGTGATCACGTCCTTTTCCTAGAGACGGGCTGACACACGTTGTCTTACTGATAAATGCAGCAGCTCTTGACAAAGCACAAAAACCTCACAAAGACACTCATCTCCTGCTATCATTTCCAGAAAGATGCCCTTGACCTATGTAAATGGGAGCAGGGCACAGAACTGTCACCTATGTGGACAGGAACAGGGCACAGGACTGTCACCTATGTGGACAGGAACAGGGCACAGGACTGTCACCTATGTGGACAGGAGCAGGGCACAGGACTGTCACCTATGTGGACGGGAGCAGGGCACAGGACGGCTGGAAGCCCGCTCTGAGCAGGAAAGCAGGCTGACAAGCTGAGAGGTCTAACAGGAAGCTCCCCAAAGGCGTGCTAGGCTGTGCTGGGCTGGGCTGGGCTGGGCTGGGCTGTGCTGTGCTGTGCTGGGCTGGGCTGGCCAGAAGGAGGTCAGTGGTTCAGAGGACCCATACCAGCAGGAAGCCGAGGGTCAGAAGTCTGAGACAAGCATGCAGTTGGAAGAGGGCCTGAGAATTGGGGGGGCTCCCACGAACACAGTATGTTCAATACCAGGGTCTGCTTCGGGATTTCCCACGTCTCAACTGGGGAAAGAGCGGGACTCTCTGTGAGGTGCCTCTCAAACTGTCCAATCAAACTGTCAAGTGAAACGCAGACATCAGCATCAGCTTCCCCGTCCCTCGCCTTTGTAAATCAGTCCCTCTCCTACCACTGCAGCCTGGGTACCTACTTTGGGGACAATGCTGGGGTGGCACAAGGCAAGGCCCCGTCTTTAAGCTATGCACAGAGGTCACTAGCATTTCAGCTGTAAAACACACCCTACCCCTCTGCTTCTGAGACCATACACTCAGTAATGACCAATTAATGCCAGAGACAGGCATTCTGTGCTTATTTTCAATATAAAAAGAATTTAAAACTGCCCGCAGGAATGGGATGCCTCGATGCACAGTCATAACATGATGGAGGGCCCCAAGTGTTACACACGCCCTCCCCTGCAACCACACCTAGGCCCAGCCCTGACTGGGGGACAGACAAGCTAGAAGCCTTCGGCTACTTTTGAGGAATAGGTCAAATCTGGCAGGCTGGCTTTGAACCACTGAGAACAGAGACCGCCAGAAAAGAGTCCCGGGAGTATCTCCAGGAGATCCTGAATGCAGTGATACCACCGGCAGTTCCTTAGTGCTCACAATCTGCAGGCTCATGCAGAGAACCCAGGTGAGCTGGATGTCACCGCCAACATGTGCCAAACGGCTCCTGCACATACGTCAACACGCAATTTTTATTCAGTCCCCTTCTTAAGGGTTGTTCTTTCACAGGAACACCCCATTAAAACAGAGGGTTTGACATCTGACTAACTCCATTAGCAAGGGGGAAATTGCTGTTGGTAAAGTGATGAGAGGTTCTCTGCATTATTACCCAGAACACAGCTTACACTCGGCCCCCGGGAGGACTGTCAATCACTCTAGGACCTCAGCTGAGCTTCAGTGGTCAGGAGGCAGGGCCCAGGTCTATGGCCATGGATTCCAGTGAGTCACTGGGTAAATTCTCCTACAGGGCTGCAAGGTTACACGTCTCAGAAGACTAGAAAGCCAATCACCGTACCACATGAAATCTGATTGCAACATATTCTCTTGAAGTCTTTACTAGATGTTGCTAGGCCTACACACGTAAGCACGCACACTGCACCCCAGCACAAACGAAGACTCTTCCTGATTTCCTCTTCCTCAGAAGCTGCCCACACCACCATGCATGGCACAGAGGCACACTGCTTCTGCTCATGGGAGAGGTCTCAAAATACCCCTGGGAAGGGGCCTCCCTCCTGCTGTCAGCTCAGCAGGGATGGTTCTTTTCAACTCAGAAGCCGGAACTCTGTGACCTCTCAGACTTTCTCGGGTTTTTGGTAAGACACTGCCATGGTGGAAAGAAAAACCACAACTCCACTCTTCCGGGGTTCGACATGGAGCATCCCAAAGTCCTACGAGATGGCACAAAGTCCAGTCTGTAGGCTCAAACTGTGCCTGGAGAAGAAAGGGGGGCACACAGTCCCCAGCACGGGGCGTCATGAATGAACCCAGCTTCCCTGGAGGAAGGCACAGCACCACAGACCAGCAGGTACCAGGAAGGAGCAGGGCTTCACCAACAGCAGGGCTCATGTCCATAAGGGCCATGTGCAGGCTGTGGCTTCCTGGACGCCCACATTCGCCTGACACAGAACCTTTCCCAGGTGACAAGAGGCTGCTCTAGGGGGGGACAGAGCTGCTGAGTCGCAGGCCGCTGCCCCTCTCCGGGGCCGCTGGCCCTGCTGTCTGCTGTGAGTGGGCAGGACAGGGCAGCTGCTGCTGGAGATGCCCTGGCCGAGTAGCAGGTGGGAGATGCTCGGAGCGGCCCCCAGTCCCACTTCACAGAGCTCCAGCCTGGGCAGGAAATTAATGACCTTGCTTGTGTTTTCTTTTTCTGTCCTATATTTTCTTTTGGTTTTCATTTGATGTGTTTAAATATTTAGATATGTGGCCTTAAGTAGTTTGGAAGAAGTGCAAAAATAGGATCATTGTTACTTTTTTATATAAAATTTTAACCATGAAAAACTATTTTTTTAAAAAAGTATTCTTCTATGGCTTTAAAAATACACCAACTATTTTTTTTTTTTTTAATTAAACACTGTCTTTAAAAGGGGATGTTTGTTAACTTGGCTGTTTCTTATCCCAAGTCCCATGGAAATGGCACGTCCGAGAATCATGAGCCTGGAGGAGGCAGGGCCTCACTGCCTTCCGGGCCCAGCCTGCGGGGCTGCCTGGCAACCTCTCCCTAAATGTAGCAGCAGGTATGAGACGGGCAGCAACTGCCCAGGAAGGCCCAAGCCCAGGCACTCCCTGCGCCTACCTACCACTATGGCTTCCACGTCACCTCCCAGCCTCTAGCCTGCCATGCAGAGTCAGGGGTAGGGCTGGAAGCACCTTCACATGCCAGTCAATCCCCCCAGGAAAACGGGAACATGGAAGACACCGGCTTCCATGCGTGGGACCCTGGCTATCTAGTTCAGAGACAACTCCAGCTCAGCAGCCAGGCCAGACGCCCCCAGTTCTCTGGGGCAGGGCTCTGCACCCCACTCACCATGATAACGGAGACCCCGGTGGCGGTGCTGTTCTGTTTGGGGAGCGCGTTATTAAAGTGCCGTTTGAGTTTACCTGTAACCTCAGCCTGCATATTATTCTCCTGGGATGCGTCATCCTACAGAAAGGAAGAAAAACAAACGCAGTTGACCCTGGACCCATGGCACTTTGTCGGCTCTCTACAGTTACGGCCCCTCCCCCACCCTCACCCTAAGGACTCCTTCCTGAACAGGCGCCTCCCGGCCACAAGAAGAAGTTCAGTTCTTTCGAAGGCCATTGCTGCCTCTGTACAGCGCTGTGGAAGAGCACGGGACTAGCATGCAGTAGACCCTGGACTCCATCCTCAGCGTGGCGGAGACACACAACACTGCAGTGCCTCCTGCCTTCAGAAAGGCATTGTGCCATCCATTCCCACCTCTGACCCAGGAGAAAGCACAGGTCTCCACGAAAAGGAAGGATGATGGCATTGTTTGGGTTTCTGAGACCCTCTCCCGGGGCACCTATAACACAATTCTTCCCATGGAAATACATAAATGAACAGGTTATCGTTTTAATCAAGAAGGTGTGTCTGGTGTGGTGATGCCCTGCTGTAGCTCTGGTTATGGGCAGGCTGAGGAGGGAATGTGGCTTGAGCCTAATGTTTGACCCACTTCTTAAGTTAAAAGAACAAAGTAGCAGAGAACAGGCCCCATGCTCAAGCTCGGTCTCCAGTACACAAGTCACTGGGCTGACAGCCCTAATTCTCACAGAGACAGAGACGTGGCACCTTCTCCACTAGTCACTCGGCAGGGAAGCAGTTTGCAGGGTGGAGGAGGTACACAGTGACATGGCCTTGGGGCTAGCTAGCCCAGGATTCAGGAGCTGACCTCGAGAGGGAGCATGTGACCTGCACATCTTCTCTGCCACCTCTGGGAGAGATCGTCTCTCTTTCCAGTCCACAGGAGGACTGCATGCCACGAGGACACAGAGTCACAGTCTGAAACATGTCCACCTCCGGGGAAACATAAACCCCACAACTAGAAAGAAGCCACGGGAGGGACCCTTAAGGGGCATCATGGCCAACCCCATCACTTCGCAGATGAGTAAACTGAGATCCAGCAAGGGACAGACTATCCAGGTTACTCACTGAGCAGATGGAGGACTCTGGATCAGCCATCTTCTCCCACGCTACTTGATCATTAGGACAGACATTGTATCTGCTATAGTATTTGAATGCCCAACTCTCTCTGTGGGAAACACACACAAGGAAGGGAGCATGCTGCTGGCCATACAATATAAATCCCTGGGGATGTGGGTACTTACGGACACCCAGGGGTGACTCAGAATCTCCCCCGCAGTACAACGAGCTTCAACGTTTACCTGAAGCATTTGACTGATTAATTCCTATAAAGGGGAGAAAGGGGAGGGAAGGGGAGGGAAGGGGAGGGGAGGGGAGGGGTAGGAGACCACAGAGGACAAAGAGGGGAATCCCGGCATAAATACAGAAATCAAGAGCCAACCCAGCAGCTCAGCCACCGAGCATGAAGCCAACCACCCACACTTGCAGAGCGGAGACATGGCCCACATCCACGGCCGGGGCAGCAGTGTATGAGAAGTCTCCCCTGACTCTGCAGCAACTAAGATTGACTCGCCTAAGACTTTGGGCCTTCACCTTCACTCCATAGTAGGATACTGCGTTCCCTTTCATCACTTAGTTCATTCATTCATTACCATACTGTGAGGAGCGCCCAACATACATTTGTTTAAGAAAGAAGGGCATGAACGTTTATCGACATTAGAGGAGCACTGTGGTGCAGATGTCGATCTAATTAGCGACTTCAGAGACTCTACGGTAAGGTACACTTGCAAAAAGACCACACATTAAAAGTCAAGCCTCTGAGCCCACGCTGGGGCTGCCCAGCCCCTCACACAGGCCCCTGCGTGCACACAGGAAGAGCCCCGAACGGTACCTTGGCAGATTCTGTAATGTTGTCCCAGTAGGGGGCTGGAAACTCCAGCTTCCCAGCCAGGATCTGGTCAAAGAGGTCTTCCTGGAGATTGTTCTCACTGGTGACAAAGGAATGGGGAAAATTAGAGTCACTAGGGGTCTCTGGGCAACGGGTCGGAGTCAAGGCTCAGCTGTGGGTCAGAGCTGCATGGTGACAACAGAATTTTCCTTCTGGACAATGAGCCAAAGGACACTTCCTAGGCCTGGGAACCAGAGAGACAGGAAATGACCCAAGCAGAGTGTTCCAGTTCTTTAGAAAGATGAAAAAGTTCCAGCAGTGGATGGTATGAATGGCTGTGCACTTAATGCCCCACAAAGGGTGCTTATAAAGGGTTAAAATGAAAGACAGGTGTTGGGGCATGTCCCTGTAGTACCAGATACTGGGAGAGCTGAGGCAATATTATTACTTGAGTCCAGAGGTTCAAGGCCAACCAAAGAAACATAGCCAGAGCTTATCTCAGGGAGAAAAACTAGTGTGTGTGTGTGTGTGTGTGTGTGTGTGTGTGTGTGTGTGTGTGTGTGTGTG